TAAATAACAACACTTGCCAAGAGGCATCTCCTTAGGATCCTACCCATCTTTCAACTTCCTTTATTAATTATTGCATGGTATTATCACTCCTTGGAACACCTTCCTCTAACTAGTATTAGCAGCATAGACCTTTTAGCATATATTAACTGGAAGCCAGGAAGAGGGTCACAAGACAGGCCAAGCCTAAGTTCCCCACTCTGTTCAAAGCACAGGATAACACTTTCATTAATAAATGTCTCCTCTACTGAATAGTTTAATGGTCTTACTTTCATCTCAGTCTTTCAAATTTTAAATATCATCTTCCTCTTTCCTCTGCATCCCTTTTTTAAAATAGACACAGAGAAAAAGCATACCATCCAAACCAAACTTGTGGCTATACAAAATAAAACTGAATCAAAAGGCAGGGTTTGAAAGGAAAAAAAGATGAACCTAAATATTTAATTGAAAATAAGTTGCTAAAATAGTTCCAAAGTTCTTGCTTTTTCTTTCACTTAATAGAAAAATCTTGATTTTTTTCCTCCACACTCAAGTTTGTATCACTGTGCTATATCATAAGGAAAATAATGGGGGAAAATGAACAGGAGCAGAAAATGTCATTTATGTCTTAGTTCAAACATGAAGAGGAAATATCACAATGCCAGATAAGTTTAGTGACCTATGATCTTATTTATCACGCTTATGGACGTTATAGGGTCTTTTATTTAAGAACAATGCTCCTTTAAGAAATAAAGGGGCATTTTGATCCTAAGGATGAAATCACAAAGAAATCTCCTGCACTATGACTAGCCTTTTTCAGAAAACAGGGGGTAGAATCAAAATTAGGCCCTAGGACTAAACATGAAAAGATAGCTTGCTTTATTCCCAAAAGTTTTCATGCATGGAGATAACAGTTTCTTCACAAATGTCTCAGATGGTGCTTCAAAGCCCCAGGTCAGAGTTACAAAAAATGAAAGAATGGGTAAATCAGTGGCATTCATATTCATGCCCTTTGTTTTCATGGCAGTTGCCCACAGATCTGCAAATACTAGGATTGTATAATCTTTTCCATGGATTGTTTTTGTGGTTTCCAGTGGTAGCTACAGTCACAGGAATCCCAAATAATGCTCCTGCTGGAGACCTGTGGTGGAAAGAATCCACTGCTTACTGCAGAGCCACTGTCTAGTTTTAGTATCTGAAGCACGTTTTTTGCTTTTCACCAGATTTCAGCGTAGACTGAAACTGATAAAGTGATAAATTAGTTCATTGATCAGAAATAATAGAAGGATGTGGAATTCCATGGATGAAAACCAAGACAAGAACCCAAAAGGGTGATTTAGGGAGAATATCGAAAAGGACATTTCAACAGACACTTGACTCTGGGGAGGAGAAGTTACTACAGTATTGTGCTGGGACCCAGGGAATCTCCGGTTTAATTCTAGCCACTTATCTGCCAGTGTGGTTTGATTGTCTAAGCTTCTTGATCTACAAAATAGTTCTTAGGACAGGATATTACTGTAAAGTATTTTGAGATTTTTAAGTCAATATTCTATATAAAGGTGACTTATTCCTGTTACAGGCAAAGCTATCAGAGGTGAAATGTAGTCCATGCATAAATCAATCACAGTTTGCCAAAGGTTCAAGTTTTTGTATTTGAAATTTACTGTGTATGGAACAGTGCTGTATTTGCAAGCTGGTTGAACAAAAAATTCTTTTTCTGGTGCGTAATTTCTATTGTTCACTTCTGTTTACTTTAAAGGAAATAGATCATGTTGTACCAGGCCCAAAGGTGGTATTAGCTAGTAGGCGTCTTTTGTATTGAGGTAATAAATTATCAGGTTTTTATATCAGCTTTACTAAAGAGGCAACTCTATGATCATATGCTGAACAAATGGAGCATTGTTTCAGAGGAGAGATTCTGATTCAGAAAGGATTCCAAATTTAATTGCACGGAACTGATAAAAGAAACACTTTCCACCCTTTATTACCTGATAATATACAATTACACTAAGAAAAAGCATGCAGAGCTAGACATTGCCACTGGGGTATTGACCTGAAACAGATGGGAAATAGCTGAAACATCTACATTTATACTGTCATCATACATCTACATTTCATTTAAAAATAAATGTTCCTATTGGCATTGTATTTAGACCCCTTATTAGCAAGGCAATGGACACAAAAACTATGCTAAATTAAATCTTCTACAGTTTACACACTGACTATGCTGCTTTTTTCTCTCTCTCTTTGGCCTATGTAATTTTGTTTCCACACAAAAATTTGGCCCTTCAGCGCATTACAGAGAATCCAAAGGACTAACCTTCTGGTGCTGGGAAACAGCTAATGTTCCTGCCAGTGAGCTAAAGCTGGAGTATCCCTTTGTCATGGCCAAATTTATGACACGGATCAAAAACTATAAAAAGCTGTGTTGCATCCTGCCATTAAGGAGAATTAATATTTTCAGTGGTATGTTAACCAAAGTTTTTCCAGTGTCTCTCGTTAAAAGCAGACTGTTGACTTTTCATCCTGGTGTGCCAAACATTTTCACTGAAAATCTAACAAGACTTTCATCTTACAACCATTATTTCTTAATGGACTTGGATAGGGGCAGTGTACAGGAATGGATTTCCTTTTCAGCTCAGTGCAATGGGCCATCATTAGTGTGCTGGGTCTTGGAGAACCATTACACATGCAAACATTTAAAGTATTTCCAGGGTAACTACTTTTCTTTCCTGAAATGCAATTCATGCTTTATCTATTATATTTAAGCAACATTTGGTTGCATTTCACCTTTCAAGTATCTCTACTATGATCACTTCTCATTTTGCTGCATAGTAAAACTCATAATGACTGAGCTCATACACAAAAACTTTTTTTTTTTTTTTAATGGAGTGATTTTTGTAGAACTTTCCCCTCATCTTGGGCAATAAATCTGTCTCTGAAAACCACGAAGCCCAAATGCTGACCATTTGACAAGAATACTGTATGACAACACCACTTGCCACTTATTCCTTATTATTGGGTAGATTATAGCATTCATAGTTGGAAAAAAAAATAAATCTACTGTTTGCCCTTTTAGAGATTCTATTTTTAGTGATTTTCTTCTATTCATTCCTGTTTTCCTACTGGCGATGCCCTGATACCCATCACCAAACAGCATTCACTTGCTTTGCAGGAACGCATTTTATTTTTTCCAAGCTGACATGAGTGGTGTCAACTGCTTTCCAAAGTTGCCTATTCCTCCCGTTAAGCCCTCTCATTCCTAATATGTACTTCTAAAGATTCCTTAACAATTACATATACAGATGCAGTTTTGGAAACTTTCAGCCTTTGATGGTATTTTGAATCATGGTCCTGTTGGCAGCAAATGAACTCAAAGTTACAACCCTAGAGTGTGATACCATCAGTTCTGAGAAGCTGTGTAATATTTATATGTCTTCATTCAGACTTTATATCAAATGTAACAGGCTTTGCAACCTTCATTAAGATAAGCTGGCACCCAGAGGTTACCATATGTTCCTCTTTTCAGGCTAGTATTTAAGTGCAGATGTATATTTATTTTTCCACTCTACAGTCCACCCTGAACCGTTCTTACTGCAAAGCTAATGAAACCATTGCTTTAATCCCCTCTGGCCTTCAGGGTATGTCATATGGTCCTTACTATTTCAGAATTCTTTTTAGTATGCTTTCTATTTCCTTACTTCTGCAGTATTTATAACTTCCCAGTTCAAGAGGCTTTGGCTTTTCTACGGGCGTCAGGGAAACTAAAACCTTCAGTATCACACTGAAGGTGGAACTGAAGCCAAATCTGCCTAAGTCAGATGCAGAAAAGTTCTGCCCGCACACTTACCTATTTTCCCAGCATCTTCTCAATTAGTTGAGCCATCCAGGATGGCCTTCCTTTATAAACAGACTTATCAGACATTTTTAGGTTGGACTGCTAGCCATTCTAGTCCAATGATCCTTCTTGTATTCCAGATATTTATACAACATAGACAGTTACAGAAGACTCCTACATTCTGAACCCTTATTACTTAAGGCTTTCTGATAAGACACTAGCCACCCTCTTTACAGCAGACGAATGAACCTAAAATGTCTATTATTTCTCTTCCTGCATTGCAATGTTTCCACTTTTCCTTCAGGCCTGATCCAAACACTATCTATCTGAACTAGTGAAAGCCCCACAAAAATAGTGGACAATTTTATTTATTTTTTATAAGGAACAACTGCAATTCATTTGAATTATGAACCTCATCCCACTGCCTTGATTCACACTGATAGCCTCTAGTCAGAAGAGCAAACGCAGGCCACAGTGGAGGCCTTAAGGCTATTGCTGAAAGCAACAGCTACAGATTTGGCCACATTTTCTTCTTTTCCTTTCTGCAGTGGATGTTTTGCAAAAGATGAATTCCTCTGTGCTTGATAGTAGTCTGTAAGATTAGACTTTTATACTATATCTTATACTTGAGCAAATCCCACTGAACTCATTCTGGTTTATGCTTCTTCTTAGAGGAGACTATTATATGTAAGCTGAATCTCTTAACTATATCAAATCCAATATAAACACCCTTTTTATAAGACACACCTCACTCTAATGCTCAGTGTGGAACTCCTAACAAAAATTATAAATGGAGTGCTTTGTTCAGGCATTTAACTCTTTCATTCCCAATATCAAATCACAATGCGTAAGCTGTTTTTATTTTGCACTTGAAAATAAATATAAATGGAAGCCGTAACCTAACCCATATGATGTGATTGAGCAAAACTGGAAGATTTTAACAAGCAACAAGAACGTAGGATGTGACTTCACCAAAGTTTTGAGGGGTTTTAATCTTATTTTTTGGAGGGGTGTCTGGAAGGAGTGGGGGGAGGGGAACGTGCTAAAACTTTGCTAATTGTTGGAGAATTCAAACCTGTTTCCATTTATTTGAAATTATTACATAATGGAAGAGGGACGCTATAATTCAACCCAAATGGATGACTTCAATAAGCGGGTGGAAATGATTCAGTACATTAAAGAGAAGCTGTTTCAATAACAAATCTTTATTATAATCAGGAGTGAAGTGGTTAATTTAAGTTTTTACTGAAAAACAGGCTGGCAAAAATGTTTCCAGGGATGTAGGGATTTTTTTCCTTTTACTCAGTAGGGGTTTGGAGAGGAGGTTTGGAAGGGAAGGAGGGCTTCGGTTCCAGGATCCCCGCATTCCCACGAGTTCCATTAAGGAAGGGGGAAGGGCTTCCTGCTGAGGCAGCCATCTGCAGCTTTCTGTGAACAGCAGGAACCAAAGGCCTGGTAAAAGGAGAGTAAACCCAGGGTGACAATTTTGTCTGCATTCAAAGTCAGAATATGGCTGATTTTTTCCTATTAGTTGTGTTGTTACTACTACTATTATTAAGGAGGAGGGAGGGTTTTTCTGGCAGAATTGGTAGGTCTATAATGGAATATTAATTAAGAGCAAACAATAGTGTTACATGCAGAAAAGTGTCTAGCACAAACACACCCTGACAGCCTCTCCTGGAATGTGCCGCCGACAGCAAGCTGGGATTGTCATCATCCAAGCTACTGTCGCTCCGCTACAAAATATCTGCAGCCTGAGGATGCTTGTCTGAAGTCCCCTTAAGTTATTGCTTTCTAGGCTAGAGTAAATTAGACCTGGATTTTTGTAAAGTGCTGTCACTTAATACCTATTTTATTAAGGTTATTTTTATGCCCATAATTTGAGGGTAACACATCTGTTATTTCCTCTACTGCCTGGCTTTGGTGAACACTGCCTATGGAAAGTAACAAAGAGTGACACTGGAAAAAATAACAAGAGTGTTTTAACTTCCAACATCTGGAGAAAACAATATTAAGGAAACAGGAACAAATAGGTACGGTAGCCTACAAAGCAAAAGTCCTTTTTTTAACAACGGTGCGCAGTTTATATGGTACAGTAGATTTTTATGATTTTGGTCTGGGCAATCTAATACAAAAAATAAGGTTGAAAAATCTCATTAAAGAAGCAGCAGCTCCAGTTCTTATTTAGGTCATCCTAATGCCAAAACCCCAGGTACAAAGGGAGAGAGGGGAAAAAAAGTTACTAATATCCCTTCCAGAAAAGAGTTTCAAAATTCCACCACAAAAGCTTCCTGCTATGTAGCTTTCAATAAAGTTTTATCACTGCTACATATATGTCCCTGGCTGCTACCTACAGAGATGCAGAAAATTCTACTGTATCATATGAAACTTCAAAACTGAATTAAGCATTCCTGTGGAGTGATAAATAACAAGATTAAAAAAGTGGTGGTAATTTTCCAAGTTAAAAAAAAAAAAGAAAAAAAAAAAACCACACCAAAACCAACAAACAAATATAAAACCTCTTAGTATTTGCATTCACATTATTGAAAAAACAAAGTAAACTGTTAAAGGATCAAGTAATCTTTTAGGGAAAGGGATGCATTTACCATACAAACATCTATTTGGAAATGCCATATTTCAATACCACTATTTTTTCTTTTTAAAATTGATAGATTTATTTTTACAATGTACATTCCTAAACCCTCCCATTTGTTGTCTGAATTCCTGTTTGTGACCTTGGAATTCCAAATTTGCTATGTCATCCTCTGCCTTTTTTTCTAAGGGCATTGTATTAGAAAATGAAAACAGCATGAAAATACTTCCCTGTCCCTTCACACCCTCTCCTTTTCTCCTGTTAATTGGTATTGCCCTGGCATCCATTTAAAAAAAAAATATTTCCTCTAAATGGAAAGGTAACTTAAGGTACTCTACAAAATAGAAGGCCTACCTTTGTTTCACAAACATGACAGGATGTGTTTAGCAGAAGCTGCTTATTTCTAGCTACTGTTTTGGGGTAGAGGGATTTTTGCTTTTATTTAATATTTTCTTTTAAAGAAAACAAAACATAATACTGATTTGCTTCAGGTTTTTTTTTTTTAGTTTCTGCCTTTTCTTTTCTTTTAGATCTCCAAAAGGAAGACTCCACTTCCAGTGGCGCATGATTGTTTTAGCAGTTTTCCTTATATAAAGGCTACATGTAAGTAAAGAATGTTTCTCCTAACAGTAATGAGCAGGAGACGGCCATTAAGAACAGATGCTCCTAATGACTGGACCACTGCTTGTGACAGCAAAAGCCAGAGGAAATCATTACATCCCTAAACAGTAGATGTGCTTTTAGTTCTCAGTACAAATAACACATGCCCTGGGTCAGTAAAGGACTACTGCATTTGAACAAGTTTGGTTTCCATGCAAAGCTGAAGGTATTTTTAGTGAAGGTATTTTTTATGTTTTTTAATTTTTAGTAGGTTTTCTGTCTGGATACATAAGAGTGACTCCAGGCACAGGTGAAACAACTCCGTGAACTGCCTGAGTACCCCATCCAGGCTGCAAAACGACAGTGTGCAGTGCAGAAGTTCCAAGTCACAAGAAACTACACTTCCAAAAGATATCTTATTAAAACCTTTGTGCAATGTAAAAGCTGACATAATGAATGCCAGCCTAACCCAGAAAATCATCCTCCTTTTAACAGGTGTTACAAATGCTCAGCACCTCACAGGCTGAAGTTCAAAGTCACCTTTATAAATAGCATTTACTTCACAACCGAAAAGTACTTTTTTTCTTTCTAAAGAAACTTTGGGACTGAAACCCACACAAATCCAATTTAAAAAAAAAATAGTCTGCTTCAAACACTACCAACTGAAACCACAATGCTTGCACACTATTAAGAAGGATGTGAGGACCTGTTTCTGTCTTTACATTGCAAAACGTTGTTTTGCTCAGATGAGGCTGTAAATGTAACAGTTTCCCAATTCTGAAATCAAAAGTGCTGCAGCAACATAGGTGTTGTCCCATTTTATCACAAGAAACCCCAGACAAACAGGTTTTCCCCACTCCTGTCCCCCACAGCAACCTCCTCAAAGCTTCTACCCAACATTCAGAGATGTTTCCTTTCTGCAAAAACACCAGACACTCTCACAGAACTGTAGATATTTACTGCCATAATGTAGATTGTTTCTTGTAGATGTGTTTATATCAGCTTTATCTGTGATTGCTCTGTATTACCTGGTGCAGAAAACATCATGTGTTTTAGTGGATTGAGAACATAGTAGGTATGATGAGCCAGCAATGGGCCCTTGTGGCCAAGAAGGCAAATGGTATCTTAGGGTGCGTTAGATAGGATGTGGTTAGTAGGTCAAGAGAGGTTCTCCTCCCCCTCTACTCTGCCTTGGTGAGGCCACATCTGGAATATTGTGTCCAGTTCTGGGACCCTCAGTTCAAGAAGGACAGGGAATTGCTTGAAAGAACCCAGCGCAGAGCCACTAAGATGATTAAGGGAGTGGAACAGCTCCCTTATGAGGAGAGGCTGAGGGAGCTGGGTCTCTTTAGCTTGAAGAAGAGGAGACTGAGGGGTGACCTCATCAGTGTTTACAAATATGTAAAGGGTGAGTGTCAGGATGATGGAGCTAGGGTTTTTTCAGTGATGTCCAGTGATAGGACAAGGGGCAATGGGTGTAAACTGGAGCATAGGAGGCTCCATGTGAACATCAGGAAAAACTTCTTTACTGTGAGAGTGACAGAGCACTGGAACAGGTTGCCCAGGGGGGTTGTGGAGTCTCCTACGTTGGAGATATTCAAGGCCTGCCAGGACAAGTTCCTGTGTGATGTACTCTAGGTTACCCTGCTCTTGCAGGGGGGTTGGACTAGATCATCTTTTGAGGTCACTTCCAACCCTTGGGATTCTGTGATTCTGTGATTGATGAAAGGTACAACATCTGTTTAAATAGCATGTAGTTTTTTTCAGTCAGTTAACAGCGTAATCACTTTAGCTATCAGAGGAATGCAGTACCTATGGGTAGCAACTCAGAACAGCATGCAGGTATAGTGCATGCATTCATAAATGAATAAAATTTTTCACAGAATATATAGGTATCAAGAGACCTCTCTTTCACTTAAGTCCTCAGAGTAAGGCTCCAGAGGGATTTGAAAAATGTGTGGGCTCTTTTCCAGCCCTGAGAAGTGAATTATACCTAGTGAAACTACAGATCTGCCTGTGCAGACAGGTGCAGGCAGTTTCCTCAGTTACTCCATGTCTCTGGTCCCAGGCAGCCGCAATCCAACTCCAACGCAAAGGCTGCATAGGCACATTTAGCTGAGAGATAGGGTGAATCGGCTTGAGCACACTAGCCGTCAGACATGCTAGCTGAGAATCTACCAACTAGCTCATGAAGTGGGATTTTAGTTAAACTTGGTTTGTACACAGAGTGCTTCTTAGAAAGCAAATTGAAGAAAGTAATGATATTTTTCTAAAACTCTTTCAAAAACATTTCTAAAAATCACGATAACCAATAAAAATATCTTGTAAAACGTATCAAAACTGTTCACAATGTTACAATTTTGGAAAAAAAAATGGACTGAGTTTGTTTTTAAAGATATGCAGTTGCATCCAGGATTCACTGTAAAAGAAATGAGGTCAAGAGGCCATATTTCTTTTAAATTCTGACATACTTCCTCATTTATATGTGCCATAAAATGAAGTGAAAGAGGTAGATGAAGCAGCGAGCACATTAACAGCTTTACTGACAGCTTTTGTAGTACCAAAATAAACGAAGCTGCATTTTTATTTATATACTGGGAATTCACCAGTTCAAATACTGACCCATGACCTTAGTTCTGCAAAGTACCCAAACATGTATTTAAGCATTTTCTGAATGTGTAGAATAAAGGTTAAATTATAGCATACGCTTAAGCACTTTGCTAAGTTGGAGCTTTACTCTTCTCATAAATTGCAGTTGCAAGGCAAGCAATTGTTCTACAAATTACTCTGAAATTATTCTAAAAGCCTATCACAGAAGTCTGAGTAATTCATAATACTGGAAAGTCAACAGGAAAACCACTGTCTGTCAACTGATGTTTGGAGCAAGATATTGATTCCCAAGTGGAGCAAGGTTAAAATGTTATAGCAACATGATCTGGACTGATTTTTCAAAAACTTACAAACGAGGGAAATGCACAGGGTATGCACCCAGGGAGCACTAGGCCATGATTCTGAGAAGGTTGGAGTTAAGGGTAGAACTCTGAGGAAATCACAAAGAAAAAAAAATCATATGTCTTTCAGTCCCTGAGGGCCTGCCTATGAATTTATAGCCAAGGGCGTGAACCTCTAGTTTACTTGTGCTTCAGATCTGTCAGAAAGAAACCTTCCCTTATTCTTTTCCACATCACAGATATCACTCCTCCTCATAAGCCACTACTCTGCTATTTCTATCAGATCTATTGCAAATAAAATAATAGTAAAAAAAAAGGAAAATCAGTCTTTATTCATCAGAAGGAGACAGGAATAAGGTCAAAACAACTTCAGCCCCCTTTGCTTTCTAATTTGACTTTGAAAGAAAGTGAGATAAGCTAAGAGAAAAGAATAGATTTCTGATCTGAATAGATTTCTGATCTAAATAGATTTCTGATCTAAACCTCACAGGCTCAGCCAACTAATCAAGGCGAATTTGAAAAAGCTGTGACAGATCTGAAGAATCTGAAAATATTTACTAATATTTACTAACCCAAAGCCTGTCGTCCACTAGTGCTCTCAGCTAAGACTCAAGGACTCCCTTCTCACGTTCCAGCGTGAAAACAACTCACTACAGAATAAACCACAGGAAAGGTAAAGGTCATTACTTGGTTGTTTGCATTAGACCTAGCTTCTTCTTGATTTTAACATATGAACCCTGAAACAAATATCCATTTCCTTTGTACCATGGGAAGAGGAGGTCTTTTAAAGCAAAGCAAGTAATTGAAAAAAGATATTTTCTGGTTTTAATAAGAACTAAGCCAACATGATATAAAAAACCCTCTGTTTTGCAACACCTGTCACAACTTCAAAGAACATTAAAAGTGCCCATTGCAAAAATAACAGGTGTCAGCCTGGAGATGTGAGGTCCAATACATGGCAGAAGCACAGTAATTCAGGCAATTGCTGTTAAAAGAACACACAACCCAAACCCCCTCAAAAGGCAAAATAGAAAAAAAATCTTTATGAGCCACTAGAGGATACTTTTGAAAGTCTAAGTTTTCATACTATCACATAAGAAATATATCACCAAGTTATGCAAAAAGATTCAAAAATAGATTGGAACAAAACCGAGATTGAGAATTCAAGCATTCAGGGCCAGGAAAGAGAGAAACAAAGGTCAACATTTAATTTTGTATTTTAAAATATGACCTTGCAAATGCTGTAAATAGATAAAAACAATGCAAAATAGATCATCAGATGTAAACTGATAAAGCTTGCATGATCTGAGAGATACTTGGTCTCAGAATATTCAGTTTCCTGATCATAAATGTATCCAAAAACATCTAAACTGATAAATCTTTTACACGGTCCTGAAAACTAGACAGAATTTTCCAGTTAGTCCAAATTAGAATATGTTGAGTGGCAGAAGCATTGGAGGTATTACAAATCTGTTCCTAAACACAAATTACAACTGCAATTTTCATAGGAAGCCTTACAATATGCTACGGATAAAGGGACCATAGCTGAAATCCCAGGATAGTTCATGAAATGTTTATGATTTCATATTTTTGAGTCTACTGCCACTAAATCTCTGCTAAAAGCAGGAATTAAATTTTGGGGGGTTAACAATATATAATTTCCTTTTCTTTCTTTCTAACTACCCAGGAGGGACAAAGAGTAACATCCGATTAGCAACCAAGCTTCCTCTGTGATGCTAACTGTTAAATATGTAGCTGGCCCAGAGTATTAACAGGGAGTTATGTGCTTGAAGCATAGAAACAGACTGGGTTGTTTAAAACATAGCAACAGAATAGGATACAGGGTCCTCCCTCACTGCTACCTAATTTGGCTTATTCAGGGTTATTCATGGTCTGGGTCCCCTGAGAAACTGTCATGGTGAATCATCTAAAGCCCATATCTGGTGTGTTTATTACCATGCTGTTGTATATAAGAATAGAACATCAGTGATAGGCAGATGTGCAATTGATGCAAGGTTTCTGGAGTAGTTAAAGAACTTGGACATTTACTCTCATTTTTTAAAAAATGGAGCTGAGCAACCTATCTAATGGTAAAGCAAAGTCTCTGAGATGCTTTGGAGATCCTTACCCTGCATTTCCAAAAATAATTTTGTTAGTTAAAAGATTGGAAAGTGCGGATCTATTCAAGAGATGAACTGCTTGCTTCCCATGAATAGGAAAGCACCTGAAACAGTATTTGGGATCAGTTCAAACCACTAAGGGTACATTGGTGGTTAGTACTCCTAGAATTAAGCTGGTACTCCTTAAGTGTACCTCTACACACTCCTAGAATTAGGTTGGTACTCCTAGAATTAAAGTAGCTTCTTACTATTTTTAATGGGCCATCTTTTTCTCCTTTAGTGCTATTCCTGCATCTCTTAACATACCACCTTTTAATTATCACCTTATTTGAGCTAAAATTCTAAAGATCCTAGTTTACCTAAGTATTACCTCTTCAGGCCGATGGATTCTTATTTTGGAAAAAATGAATGAGGGCATTCATTGTTTTGTCCTGTTTTGCAGGAAGCGCAATGCTGATTGCCAGCTGGATGAATGTGAGAAGAAAGCCTTCCTAAGGTATCACAATCCTGTCAGAGACTCCTTTTTAGTTCCATGAAGCTTAAAGCAGCATCCATTTCAGACATTTTCTACTGAATAGACAGTGCCAAATGCTCTCGAAACTTAGAGCTGTGCCCAAATAATCCAGTTAATTTTGTTCTCAGATGCTGAGAACTGAAGGCTGTGCCCAGTTAATCCAAATAATTTTACCCCAAATGTTTAACTGCCAACAAAACCCTCCACCTTTGAAATCCATATCTGAGTCAACATAGATAGAATTTTCCCAGTACTCCACAGCATATATGGCAACTCCAAAGTAAAGTTTTATTAAGGTCTTATTTTAACTAGTTTAGAAAATCAAATGTCCTATAAAAGCAGAAAGAGTACAGACAACACCATATTTTTTCAGTAACAGCAGTCAAAATCGACTTCCTTCAAAACCCCCAGTCAGTTTTTTCCTTTAAAATTATGTTCCATGATTCAAGCTCTTGAGAATTTAAGTTCCTTGCTCCTGTGCCTGGCTTAGCCAGCTTAGTCAGGTCTTCCCAGCAGCTGGGAAGGATCGCACGTACATAGCTACCAGCTCATTTAGGACCAAATTGTGGTACAGTTATTTATGATGAGCAGGAACTTACTCTCCTCGCATTAGTTTTAATAGGAGCTTACTAGGAGAAAATGCTGCAAAATTCTGGTGCTTAGTGGACAAATTGTTCTATTTACCAAATATCAAACAGGACTGGAGACTGCAAAATGCAACTCCAAAACAAAAGTTTCAGGTTTCATTGAAGTAGCCAAGAAGGTAATGTTTCCGGATCTCTTGAGAGGAATTCTAGTCATTGTTTGCAACTTTAACTTTTTACCTAATAGTACCCCAGAAACTGTAAAATATCCCAATTTTAATGAACAGAAAAAAAGAGTCATGACAAGGGGATATCTGAAGACCAGCTTTCCTGTCAGCAGAGAAATACCTCTTCCTTCAGTAATGACTTCCTAACAATCTTTTCTCTCTATTTCTCTCATGTGTAAAGAGAGGAAGATAGACATAAAGAGAAACTTTTTACAGAAAAGTCATTTAACACAGGCTCCTCCATGACACATACCCTGGAGAACCTCCCTGGCATTGAAACACAGGGAGGAAACAGGTGTAGGAATGAGCCACGCACACACTTCCCTAAAGAGTGGCCACAAAATTCAGACACAACAGGCAAACCCCACTACTGTAGAAGCAATGTCTGTGTCAAAATATCGATTTACTGTTTGTGGTAGAATACTAATAGTGTGAGGAACCTTTCAATATATAAGGTAATGGAAGGTGAAGCAGTATTTCTCCAGAAGAGAGACGACCAGAGAGAAAACAAGTAAAAGCCTGCAGAGCCAAAGAATACCACCCGATAATTCTCAAAGTTGGTATTTAGTTGCTGTGTGCAAAGTGCTTCTCTGTCTAATGCAGAACATCTCTGATGTTATATATTTGATAGTTTTCACAAAGCCACTAAGCAATTACTCGGTTGTGTTCATCTGTAAATGACAGAATGCCTTAAGGATTTTTGATCTGTTGTTTATTTCCCCAGCATTTATCAAAATGGAGTCTTCAAGAATGGGTCTACAAATAGTGACAAAAGCCAATGTACAAGTTTTTCTGCAGTTACTGATCCCTAGTTTTTCATTCCCATATCTCAAACTGAAGGGTTTCACTTCCACACATTTCATAACAGTTGTAAGCAGTTTTTAAAAAATATTCACCTACCACTTTCTCTTTTGCTGTAGACTGAAACAGTGTGCAAGATGTTTTTTCTACTTACTCTGATCACTCTATAGCGTTTCTATTTTATAACCCCAGCTAAGTTTTATTAGTGATAGTGTTTTCTTCTTGTCCAGCATGCTTCATCAAGTATACCAGTGCATAACCTTGACCTTTTATTTAAAATCAACCCCATCACCTACAGACAATAACTCCTAGAAAATCTATGTTCTTTCCATATTTTGCTCTGCTGAGATCCTCTCAGGCACACACTGACAGGTTTTAAAATCAGAAAGGATATGGAGCTTCTGCAGATTGTGGTTTCTAAGCTGTAACAAATTAACTGACCAAATTGTGTAATATTCTCTGCATTGCAGTATTCACTCCCTACATGATGATATTCATCACCCACTCTCTTCCTTCCTCCACAGACTCTCAGAAGATTCACACTACATCCATTTCCAGGGCTCCTCTCAGATTCCCCAGGCAAATGCCAATCAAAGCTTCCTTTGTTGGCGATATGTACATTCCTCCATGAGCTATAAAGGGTAAGAATGTCCCAACTTTCTACAGGCTATCATAGGCACGTGCAAAATTATTGTCCCATAGTTTATCTTACCATACCCCAGAGAAATCTCATCATCCTGTTTTCTTTATATGGACTACAGATGTCTTAGCCAAGCTTCCTCACCACTGAGTCACCAACCGGGATTGTTTACATCTTCATAATGAGTCACCTTCACGATTTGGCTCACTTTCAATACATGGGCTGACTTCATCTACTCTGTTTTGTCTCATTCTCCTTCATCTTGTCAATGTAGCTGTACCTGTTGGGAGTACAAGCACAAAATGGCTCCCTCCTACTTTTCCTTTTGCTTTCTTTGTGCCACTTCATGTTGACTGATGTCACTTTCTATCTCTAGATTGACTGCTGTTCCAAAACTTTGACTTTCATGTCGTTCCAAGTTCCTGTGGCATAGGAAATACAATTCATATTTCTTTTTTTCCATCCAAGAATATCAGCTGACATGCAAAAGTGCCGCATCTTTGCTCAGATGTCAAACTACATTTGTATCTTTCATCCTCCTCATTTATAAATAGGAATATTGTTAATATTGCAAAGGATGCTTTAGAAGTCATATTGCCTTTTTCCATATGATATATTCTCCCTTACTGGAATGTGTGAATGACTATGAATTCTGCTGGCCTGACAGCTTTCCTTTTTGCACTATCCACCACCTTGAAGGTTCATTTTGTGAATGTTCTGTATTTTTAATTCTTTCCTTTTCTAATCACTATGTTTAGTATGTCCACTCCTCAACTAACTCACCCTTAGATCTAAACTCCTTGCAATCAGTTGTTGGCTGAACTCCCAGGTCAGACAGTATCATTTTCTGTTTTACCTTCAGGCTGTCATGTACTGCTTCAGAGCTATTGTAGTTATGTTTCCAAAACAATATTTTCATTATCTCATTATTTTCTAAATGTATATTGTAAATATGTTTTTATATTACTTCCTTTCCTTCAAAAGATTATAAAAAAAAAAAAAAAGATTAAAGTGCTTAATAAGGTCCCTTTAAGAGTCTTTCACAATTCCTGTTTTTGTAAAGTTGCAGTTGCATTGTTGCATAAAAATCTTTATGGCAACTAAATTGGGGTGAGAGGTAAAATTTTGCCATGAATTAGAAACAGGCTAAGGAACCAAAAGCAAGGTCAGAATTAATAATCAGTTTTCGAGGGAAAAGGTTGACAGGAAGGTGACCAGAACTGAACCCAGTTTGTTAGGTGGGGTAGAATGTAAAGATGTGAGTAAAAAAACATTATTGTGTTTAGTTATTACTAACAATATAAATAAATCATACCTAGGTGTTTTGCAGCTAGATCTGTGAAAATTACACACAAAATATCCCCTGTAAGTGTTAAGTCAGTAACTTCTAACATAAACCTGATTTTTATGTAAGCTCGCAACCTTTCATGCCCTTATCTTGTTTTTAAATACCAAAGTGGTTGTGTGAAGGGCAGAATATCTTTGAAGAGTTCCAAACCCTGTGTATACAAGACACAGCTATACTGAAAAGTGAATCAGTTATTTAATTCTTCAACCTTGTCTACTGATTTTAGCTACATTTTCTCAGGCATACAGAGTTTAACCAGACCCACCCACCCAGAAAAATGTTTTTGTGTCCTCCAGTACCAGTTCAGACTAATGGCCAGCCTTATGATCCTGTTTATTTTTAAATCAACCTAGGTAAACAAATCTTTCCATTTGTCATTATTGTTTCTCTTTTTGTAATTAATCCTCTGAGAAGTTAGAAATTAAACAGCACTTACTCAGCCAAAATGGAAACTTTGTATAATAGTTTCTTTCATAAAGCACAAATCAAATATAAATTCACATTTTTTGAATATGGAAATACTCATAGTGATGAAAGTTATACTTAGTACATGTGGAATGTGTGCTTCATTTTTTAAGTGTGGTTTGCTTTGGTTTTTTGTTTTTTTAATAACAATGATGCCAGTGAACTTCAAGATGATGAAGTTTAATGGGCCCTGGAGCCTGCTCAGATCTAGCTGCCTCAGTCCAAATGCTAATGTGCATTCAGAACTGTAAGCAGAAAAACTCCAAGTCTGAAAGACTCATTGCCCTGGTGGGAAATATTATTTATGCCAGTTACAGGAGCCACTGGCTGCTGTATGTGAGTAAAAGATTGAGAACATTGGCCCACATGAGGTGTATCTTGGTTGTAGACAGGATTCCACTATGAAACTCCTTGATATTATGACTGGTTTTAGATGAGGCCAAGAATAGATAGGCAAGAGTGCTGTTCGCACTGTTTGAGCTGCCTTAGGTACTAATAAAGAGAGCAATAGGTGCTATGCTGGATTCCAGAGGTGAAGAATGATCTAATAAGAATTCTTTGTTTTCAGATGCTGGACCTCATTTTGATATTTTTCCTAGCGTGGTTCTGGGTAAAAGACTTGCACTTGTAGCCAGCTAGCTGTTTGTACACTGACACATGACTGTAAAAGAAGCCAGACTCATTATGAATGTGACAGAGCCAATATCCCAAATTCTGGAGGTTTTCTATTAAACTGCCATTCAGTGAGGACCGTGACACACTCCTGCCTTAAAAGAAATGGAAACTTGTGAACTTACACTGTTAATAACCAAACGACAGCAACAAAATTATATTCAGAGTAGGGAAAACACAATTTACTGTGGACTTGGCTCCTCTGACAGTATAGGACAAGATAGTCTCAGCCTTGCAGTTCAGCCGAGTGTTATGCTATCCATCAAAATCTGGGATCATACATGTCCAAATGTGGAACATCTGTATACTGCTGAGAGCCTCAGCATAATTTTTAATTAGAAGATGTGTTTTGAATGTTTTCTCACTTAATACGCTAAATAAACCAGCAATTTTAAAAACACAAACCCCGAATTATTTATGGGCAAACCAATGAAGTCTGCATTCCAAACCCACAACCAGCCCAGCATGAATGCTGACCTCACCTCTGCTACTACAACTAATAGGAAAACTGATGCACCACTTAGGCTAGGCATAATTAAGAAGATAAAAAGTCTGCCAATGGATGTTTCTATTTTTTGCAAGACATTTGCCACAGAGGAAAATGCCAATCTGGATTCTCTTCCCAGGCCCAGTAACAGAGTGTCACCTCTAATTAATGCATATATTAGCATGAAGCCAAACACATAAAAATTGAGAGAGCATAAAAATGGAGTGATTAATGTGTAAAATTGAAATAAAAGGTCAGGCTCAAAATGGGGTATGAACAGTTTCCCAAGAGATTGCTTTTGTTTACTATTCTGATTGATGTCCTGGCTCTAGAACACGGGAGATTCTGCAGATGGGTTCTGCAGGCAACACAGAAAGACATACATCAATGTACAGGAGGACAAGGAAAACCTACCAAAAGACCTGGCTATTTGTGAACTGAAATGGGATGATGTTTAGTAGTGAAAGTAACAAAACATGGGCTGAAGGCTAAGAAGGAAAACTCTCATTTGGAAAAGACTCAGCAGAGTCTGCTCTGGAACTACCAGATGACTGCAGGAGACTACAAAAGCAATGCTTTGCTAAGGTAACAGTAGAGGAAGAGTAGCAAATTCTTAGCGTTCAACTGTGTAACCTTCAGGAGACCACACCTACAATACTGGGTACAACTTGTGTTCGAGGAAAACTAATTCATCACTAGCAGTTGTAGAGATGGTGCATCAGGCTTGCCAGAGAATTAATAATCTATAATGTGAGAAGAAGCTATGAAAAGTTCTGCTTGTATAGCCTTACAAAATTACTTTGGGGTGGACAAATGAACATCAGGAAAGCAGAATAGTTATGCAAGCCAATAGACAGGGCTGGCAGGATAGTAAGTCAGAAAGCACTAGTCATAAATTACTTGAGGCTGGGAATTGAAAGATGGTGTCTAGCAATTACAGCAATAACTGTCCAATGGAAGATCTGTTCCAAAGCACTGAGGCAAAAATCATAACTGTTCTTCAGAGAAAAACTTAATAAACTACAAAAATACATGGTAGCTATATTAAAGAACTTAAACAGATAACTCCAGACTTCACTTCCATTCCAATGTTTCTGTCTCATAAATTCACCTGGAAGAATAAAGGCCCAGCTGGACACAGTTCTTGGTTCTAGAGGCCCATTAAGGAGAAAAGCTATAGTACGAAAATAGCTTTCTCATTGTGATAGTGAAGTGTTCTGTAAATTAGAGGTGGGGTCAAAAAAATAAATAGGCTGACCATATAAATATGGGGCAAGCATACAGCCTTGCACACCAAAGGATGCCACTTTACCATCCAACCCAACTAAAAATCCATTACCTGTCAGTAGTTTTAACCTTGCATAAGGAACTCTCATGTAAGGTGTTTAAATCTGAGGAACAAAACTCTCCTTAGGCTGCCTAAAATAGTGCTTGACTGGTCTGAAATGAAGGTGAACTCAAAGTTAGAGTTGTACTGGTATAACTGAAAAAGTATTGAATTCAACTTTTTGTTTTATACAATTTTGGACTCCTTACAGGTCTCCTAAGGCTCTTTGTAAGCTAACATCAGTTTTCTACTTAAACTCCTCTGACAAACAGGTTTCTCAGGTAATTTAACGTCATATAAATAAATATGGCTATAGTTAAGCAGGATCACAAAAAAGTGCTCTAAAAGTATTTTCATCCAAGTATATTTGATTCTGCATGGTGGGATATATTCGGGAAATGTCTTTGAAGAAAACAAACTGTAACAGCCATCATCTCTACTGAAGAATATTGTTTAATCCAGAAAGATGCAGGAAAAAAGCAACCAGGATAAAATGATGTTTAAAACACATTGCATCAATGATAGAAACCATAACACAAGTCCACCTTCTTAACATTGTTAAAGAAGGGAAGAAAGTCATTCCCATTCCACACATTTTAGCATTTTCCCGTGCCTAATTAATTCCTTAAATTTAAGAAATTGGTTCTGGCTGAAATTTCCATATTGTCATTTGAACTCCTGAAGAAATTCATCACAGAAGAGCCCTTAGATCTTAGTTTGCTAAATTCAAGCAAAGTCAGGATTCCTTCAAAACCCACAATTCCTTTATAAGCAGTGGATTAAAAAACATAAACAGTGGCTTATTTCTGATCTTCTGCATTGTCCTACATGCTCAGATCATTCATTCATTCAAAAAATGCACGCTTAGAAACTATTTTAAAAGTGGATTAAATCCTTTGGCACATTATTATTGCATTGCCTCAATAAGTGCTTAGTTTACCAAAAAGGTTATTTACTGTAAATATGGTACTAGAACCAGCT